AATTTAGATGTGAAGGCCGCCCTCTAATAAATTTTACATGGCCCATTCCTGATTTTGGTTTCCATACCATCACTTAAGAATGTCTTTTTCTGGTCGGCTTCAAACGTTAAAGCCTCACATGTCGCACTTGGAAGGATGTTGGTATTGTTGTGGAATATGGAGCTGCCATTTTGCCAGTTTTAATTTCGAAATGGAACATCAGTAATATCCAGTAAACATCTGAGGGTTTGCTTCTTGTAAATGGGTTTAATGTTTAATGGATCATTTTTCTTATGAAACTGATTAAACTTTTCCTGAGGGTTTTAAGCTTCATAGGTGCAAATTTCTTTATTTTCTAGCCTAGATAATAAACTTGAAACTGTTGCGTTTTGTGCAGTAGGTTAGGTTAGGTTTATCAGGAAACAAAACACACATTTCCTGACACGGGTCTTAGTCATATGATGACCCGCAGCTGGAGCTTTTGGTCATCTGACGGAGACTTCCACTTGCAACAGCTGAAGAACAGAGCTAAAAGTCAACCTTAAACTTGTGTTGTTGTTGATGAGGTCTTTCTCAAAACGGCCGTTTTCACTGTTTTAAACAAAATGTTTTCCATGAAATAAATGGAGAATATCTCTCCTGAACAGAAGTCAGTGTTTGATTTTATTAAGTCTACATGATGTAATTATGTGCCCGTAATATCTAAGTGCTCTCAAAGCCACGGTAACAAATTTGTATGTTATGTATCTAAACCCAAGTTACTAAACGTTAACAGCTGGTCAGTCTTAGAGAAAGACTTGGTTTGATTTTGACTTGTGTAAGTCCAAAATTGTGGTTTTTATTGAAAGCTGAAAAAGTAAAATAATGAATTTGGTAATATGAATTTTGAGTTATTCATCCGACTGGTTCAAACCTTGAACCAAATAGTTTGATAATGCAACTCCCGAGCGGCTTCAGATTTAGTGTATTATGATTTACATGAGATAACTACAGAATGCCTCTCCAGTTTAACTTTAAATTTTTAAACCTTGTTTGAATTTGTGTTGGGTTGTGCATGTGCTAATTTGTCAATTAATATTTGTCAATTAACATTAACGAAATTGGAAATATAGTTTACATGTGATAACTTGTGAAGGAATCTTTTATTTACAATATTCAACTCTAATATTTAGCTTTATTACAAACTTATGCCGCACTCCGCACTATGCCTTTGGTGTGCACTGAGGTGCAGGGGACTGGGGTCATGGAATACAGGGATACCCCCATAGGGGGGAGTCATACAGCACCTGGGAGAAATGGGAGACAAATTAGATAAAAAGGAAAGGAAGGACATATCTAATTCCTTGGATCAAAAGCCCCTCACTTGCATCAAGGGAGTTTCCTTGAAGGGTAAGCAGTAAGTACTGAAATATTGATTTTAGGTTGTGATGGAGGTGAAGAGTGAACACTGTCTAAGTGATTCAGTAGAGTGGAACAGGAAGGTAAGAGGAAGGAAAGGCAAGAGACATAATGGAGAAGGGACTGGAGGGGTAGAGAGAGAAGGGGATGGGACGAAAGGGGATGAGAAAAAACAGGGAGAGGAGAGTGGTAAGGAAGAAGTGGAGAGGGGGGGGAGGAGGAAGGAAAGGAGACAAAGAGATAGAGAGGATAGGAGGGGTCGAGTGGAAGAGAATATGGGGGGACGAGAGGTAGAGAATAGAAGGGAAGACGGGTAGAGAGGAAGAGAATAGAGGGGAAGAGGGGTAGAGCGGAAAAGGATAGAAGGGAAGAGGGGTAGAGAGGAAGATGATAGAAGGGAAGAGGGGTAGAGAGGAAGATGATAGAAGGGAAGAGGGGTAGAGAGGAAGATGATAGAAGGGAAGAGGGGTAGAGAGGAAGAAGATAGAAGGGAAGAGGGGTAGAGAGGAAGATGATAGAAGGGAAGAGGGTAGAGAGGAGGAAGATAGAAGGGAAGAGGGGTAGAGAGGAAGATGATAGAAGGGAAGAGGGGTAGAGAGGAAGAAGATAGAAGGGAAGAGGGGTAGAGAGGAAGATGATAGAAGGGAAGAGGGGTAGAGAGGAAGATGATAGAAGGGAAGAGGGGTAGAGAGGAAGATGATAGAAGGGAAGAGGGGTAGAGAGGAAGATGATAGAAGGGAAGAGGGGTAGAGAGGAAGATGATAGAAGGGAAGAGGGGTAGAGAGGAAGATGATAGAAGGGAAGAGGGGTAGAGAGGAAGATGATAGAAGGGAAGAGGGGTAGAGAGGAAGATGATAGAAGGGAAGAGGGGTAGAGAGGAAGATGATAGAAGGGAAGAGGGGTAGAGAGGAAGATGATAGAAGGGAAGAGGGGCAGAGAGGAAGATGATAGAAGGGAAGAGGGGTAGAGAGGAAGATGATAGAAGGGAAGAGGGGTAGAGAGGAAGATGATAGAAGGGAAGAGGGGTAGAGAGGAAGATGATAGAAGGGAAGAGGGGTAGAGAGGAAGATGATAGAAGGGAAGAGGGGTAGAGAGGAAGATGATAGAAGGGAAGAGGGTAGAGAGGAAGATGATAGAAGGGAAGAGGGGTAGAGAGGAAGATGATAGAAGGGAAGAGGGGCAGAGAGGAAGATGATAGAAGGGAAGAGGGGTAGAGAGGAAGATGATAGAAGGGAAGAGGGGTAGAGAGGAAGAAGATAGAAGGGAAGAGGGGTAGAGAGGAAGATGATAGAAGGGAAGAGGGGCAGAGAGGAAGATGATAGAAGGGAAGAGGGGTAGAGAGGAAGATGATAGAAGGGAAGAGGGGTAGAGAGGAAGAGAAGAACACCGAGGTATAACAATAAAGAACATTAACAGTATCATTGTAGTAGTGTACTGCACCTGGGAAATATATTACAGTTAGGTTTGATCCAAGGGTAAGGTTGCTCCAATTCACTGGATGACGATCCCTTCAACAACATCAGGGCACCCGTGTTGAAGGGGTAATAAGCACTGATGAAAGGCTCGTGATCCAAGGAGCTGGAGCTACCCTTCCCCTTCTTTGGATCAAACGTTATTAGCTCACATTCTCCAGGCTCTAATTAACCCTTACTGGTTTACCACTTCCCTATGACTGTAATATATTTTCCTATACATTTTGTGTGTGTGTCACTCTTAGCTGACGCAGGATCGAGCCTTCTCGTGGTGAACGACCCACTCGGTTTAGCACAAAACGACCTAATTCGTATTAACCTTGTGATGGGAGGTGTCGCTTCTTGTAGTCAAGTTAATAGTAAACACTGCAATAAAGAAAGTGAGATGCAAGTACTTACCTCGTGTGGAGTGAAGGAGTCTGTTTAAAGGTAAGAAGACAGCAGAGTTATAGCAAGGTTAGTACACCCCACCACCACGCCACTCTCACTAACACAAAACACTGTAAAACAATAAAAGGACTGTATCTCCATTTCACACAGTTCGTAAATTACAGATGCACAGTGCACATGTCATATTGTAGTGCACGTATCATATTTAGCGTCGCCTCAAGAGTCAGCAGAACAGAGTGCATCTTCGTTTAAACCTCTCTTTCTACTGGGAAAGGGCATCCCCCTTTCTACTCCGAGAGGATACAAAAATTCACTTCACTTCTGACTCTCGGCTCATCCCAAGAGCCTCAGATCCTGCTCATATTCATTTTAAAAATCCTTTATATATATTTTTTTCAAAGGAGTTTACAAAAAAACTTTTTCTAAGAATTAAAATAAGGAGTGTGGGGAAGGCTTCAAGGGTGGAGGGAGCGACGCAGCGCGGCCGTCAACCTTCAACAAAGGTTTTAGAAAACGCCTTTCTTGTTACTTTTTTTTATCTTCCTTCGCTGGAGGATCAGGACGCTGAAGGGGGCGCTCTTGCGTTGCCTGGCAGGGGAGTAGGCAGTGCTTGCAGGGTCGAGGGAAGGAGGGGGGAGGCAGCCTGAAAGGTAGGCCTACTTAGGTTGCAGTGTAGGGCTGCCCTCTGGAGGGTAGGCTTCCTCAGTGTTGAATAGATATAACTGATGAATGTGATGAATGTTTGCTGCAGAGTAAATTTTAATAAACATTGTTTCGTTTTTTATAGTTTTTCAAGTCATAATGACCTAATAAAACTCCAATCACAGTTTTACGTTGAACCAATTGTTCTATTAGGCCTCCAAGATTGGAGGGTAGGTTTTGAAGCTGGAAAGAAGGCCTCCTGAAGAACAGGCGTCCTCCGACCATCTTAGCAGCCTTCAGCGGGCCAAGCAGTGTAAGCAGTCAGCCTCAGCAGCAGATAAAGCAGTTTTACTACGGCTTACCACAACAGTGGCCTCTTTTGAGGGATAGTTAAGATGCAGTGTTGTGCTTCTAGGTGGGCGCCACCCTCGCCTCTACCTCACATACATTACCAAAACTCGTGAGCGTACAAACAAGTGTACGTGTCTGTGTATCTGTATTGTGGATAGCGAAGAAAATGAAAAGTTTGTGAACTCAAGCGAAAGGAGGCGTTTTGTGTGTGTGTGTGTGTGTGTGTGTGTGTGTGTGTGTGTGTGTGTGTGTGTGTGTGTGTGTGTGTGTGTGTGTGTGTGTGTGTGTGTGTTTTATAAGGATAATGAAGAAACTGAAGCGTGTGGAACTCAAGCGCAGGGAGTCGTTCCCAGTTTGCTTCTGTTATGAGGATAATGAACTGAAAACTGTGTGGAACTCGAGTGAAGTGAGGCGTTCTCAGTGTGTGTAAAAGAATCTTCTAGCCAGAGAGCTTGGTAAATGTCTGCGTTGGAAGAGTTTGCAAGATGCCAGTGTAGCGTCGATCTAACCCCGTGCAAAGTAAGGCTAGAAGCTGATATAAAGAAGAATGGGTGCGTGTGCATGGTTAAAGTTAGGGCTCAGTTGGTCCCCCAGTGATTGGAATGTGAAGGTGGCAGGTGAAGGTGGTGGAAATAGGTAGGTGGGTAGGTGGAGGGGGGCAGCAACAGCCTTTGTGCGCCAGCTGAGCCCAAGCATCAAGGGCCAGCAGCTGGTAGTTGCGACAGCAGTGGTGGCGTGCTGACCAACACCCTCAAATGCTCCAAATACCTCGTTCTTCTGCTGCAGGGGGAACTTCGGCCCCTTCTTCTTGTCCCAGCCAAAAGTAGTGTCGAAGCATCCGCAGCACAAGTCGCACGCCAGCGGGTCCCGGTCAGCCTCAGAAAGCCAGGGGTCGTGCGCGTTGCTGAGAAAGTTCTCCACCCCCGTGGCCAGCCGCTGCATCCACCGCGGCCGTTCCTTGACCGGCGGGTCATGGCCGCTAGCGTCTACCGCGGCCAACCATGTGCGGGCAGGAGGTGCGGGGAGGAGCAGCGGGGGAAGCCACAGGTTAGTAAGAGGTCACACACATGAGGTCAAGTCTCAGGTTACATAAAAAATTGTAAAGGGGCCTTACAAGAGGTTATAGAGGATAGAAAAAGTCATCCCCAGAGAAAAGTGTCATAACCTTTCTCTGAGAAAAGAGTAATATGGACTGAGACTAAGGAAAACAGTACTGAAGATAACACACTTGAGAAAGAAGTCACTGAGGCGACATCTACTGAAAAGTACCAGACTAGACATTAAAGTATCAGGAGGGGGGGGGGAATGAAGAGTAAAATAAACTGCCCCTGTGAGAAACTTCATCAAAATCTATCAAAGCTCCTAGAGACTTTGATCTAAAATAAATCCTAGGTCTAAACTTGAAAATCCTGAGGGTTAAAAGCAGGCAGGATGATAGTAAAGCATGTTACCGTGATGTGAGTGTGGCTGCTGGTCTGCTCACTCTACACAGCCTGCCTGGCCTGCACAAGGACCAATTCGCATTAACATTTCTCCAGTACAAACTCAAACTCTGCCTACAGTGTAGACCAGTGGTTCCCAACCTTACAGAGTGCAAACACCCCTTCCTTACCAAAAAAAAAAAAAATAATAACTGCGGACTCCCCACTGACATTAATGAACCTCATATGTTAAAAACATTAAAAATCCCTCTTACGTCGTAAGAATCAACTTCACTTTCTATATTAAAATCACCCGGAAGGGAGCGCTAAATTCTTACGTGTAATACAGCACCTGGGAAACGGGAGACAATCAGGGTCGATCGAAGGAAACGGAGGATAGGTCCAACTTCTTAAAGAGCCCCTCACGAGCATCATGTCATCTCCCATGAGAAAAATATCATTGATTAATAGAGGAAATCAAGTGCTGGCTAGAGTAATACTTGAGCTTAGCAGCCACCCCCGGAAGCCCGCCACCCCCAGGGGTCTGCCATCCCCAGGGGTCTGCCACCCACACGTTGGGAACCACTGGTACAGAACATGACTGCTCAGCCTGGGGCAATTTTTTTTTTTTCGAAACAAATCCTGCTGAAAATAGTTTACTCATTGTTATTACAAATCTCTCACTAGGAGAACAAATCTTTGTAATTCGTGAAAAGTGACAAGCCTGTGTGTGTGTGTGTGTGTGTGTGTGTGTGTGTGTGTTGTGTGTGTGTGTGTGTGTGTGTGTGTGTGTGTGTGTGTGTGTGTGTGTGTGAGTGTGTGTGTGTGTCATTCAATGCAAGGAGCTCTGGTGGCTCGATCCTCCGTCAAATAATCAAGAGTGAGAGAGAGAGAGAGAGAGAGAGAGAGAGAGAGAGAGAGAGAGAGAGAGAGAGAGAGAGAGAGAGAGAGAGAGAGAGAGAGAGAGAGAGAGATGCTATTCTCACTGACTTCCTTTCTTCAAGAAGAATAGAGTATACGCTTAAGAATTCACTGTCAATTCCTTCTTGCTCGAGAGCTTAACTCTAATGTATGCTGAGTGGACAGAGAATCGAGCCTCCACCAATCCTTGTGCTTAATGATGCACACGGGTTTGGTGCTTCACGTTTATATAAATAATTCATGTTTTCTCTCTACAATATATACATTAACACACACAATACCCCGTGCCTCTGAGTAACTATTACATAATACTCTGCTTCAGAGTGTCTAACATACAATATTCCTTTGTTTCTGAGTGTCTAACATACAATATTCCTTTGCTTCTGAGTGTCTAACATACAATATTCCTTTGCTTCTGAGTGTCTAACATACAATATTCGTTCTTTCTAAGTACCTAACAACATTCTTTGCTTCTAACACAACAATTCACAGGAAAAAAAAATAAACGTTCATTCAATAATTTTAAGCATAATTTTTATTTTCTTTTAATATCTCACAGCGTACAGATCTAAAATATCTTTTGCCCTGACATAATCTAAACTAAAGCAGAAACAAAATAGCATGTCATGTAGAAATTTTCTCAGAATGAGAATATATATATATATATATATATATATATATATATATATATATATATATATATATATATATATATATATATATATATATATATATATATATATATATAAGGGCAGAAATAACAACAGTGTAGGGCAGTGAATAAGCAGATGTGATTTTTTTTATTTGAAGGCCAATAACTATACGCTAACAGGATAATGCATGCACTTTACAACAGAACGGTGAAGTATATATAAGACGAGCATGTGTCTGTTACATACACATAACACAGACAACACAAACATGCTTCTGTTTAGCCATACGGAACACTGGGAACACTAACATCAACACTAAGTCTGTTGTTTATGATATACTAGAGTAACAGAGGATTGAGGTGATTGTGACTGGCAACAGAAGGTGACATGGTGTTACTAACAACAGAAAGGTGACATGGTGTTACTGACAACAGAAAGGTGACATGGTGTTACTGACAACAGAAAGGTGACATGGTGTTACTGACAACAGAAAGGTAACATGGTGTTACTGACAACAGAAAGGTGGCATGGTGTGACTGACAATAGAGAGGCAACATGGGTGTGACTGACAACACAAGGATGACGTGGATGTGACTGACAACACAAGGGTGACATGAGTGTGACTGAAAACAGAGGGGTGACACGGGAATGACTGACAACAGAAGGGTGACATAGGTATGTCTGACAACAGAAGGGTAACATGGGTGTGACTGACAACACAAGGGTGACGTGGATGTGACTGACAACAGAAGGGTAACATGGGAGTGACTGACAACGAAGGTTATCCTGGTTGTCAGACACGAGTCAGGCGGTAGTAAGGGGTCCTCATTCTGCCCAGAAAAAAGAGAGATGAAAAAGGCTTACACTTTCACCCACATAAAAGCGAGGAAAAGTAAGCACAGTGCTCAAATATAGAGTGAAAGAGAAATAGGAAGTGAGGAAAGGGAAGAGGGAAGAGGAGAGGAGGGAGAAGAGGAAGTGAATGAATGATTCTGGGAAAACAAGTGAGAGGAGGAACAGGGTGGAACACAAGAAACAGCCTCAATAGATACCTGAAGCATAATTTAATGTAGTTAGGTAGCTCAGGGCGACCTACAGGCTGGTTAGCAACATAAACGATGCAAAGCGACTATCTACAGCGTGACGCATGACACCAAAAGCAGTGGCAAGAATCCACGTGATTATACGAAAATATAATTACAGATCTCCAATATTACAAATCATGGACCACAACACTCAATACGCATACAAACTATATATATATATATATATATATATATATATATATATATATATATATATATATAATATATATATATATATATATATATATATATATATTATAGATTATATATATATGGGGGGGGAAATGACTGACAAAATAGCTCATTTCTCTATAGCATCCAGTGACAGCGAATATGATAGGAACCCGTGGCATCAGAGGTGAGCCGGCAGACAAGAGGGGTGACCCGAATGGATCCTTTACCCCCACAGACTAAGGCCGTTGTTAATCTCCGCCTCACACGGAGGACGGAAGGAGTCGCTGGAGGTTACTAGACTGACTACGTACCTCGAAAAGAATAATACAACAGATATTTAGTGATAATCAATTTATTTACATGATAGGATTTCGTACACACGATCCGTGATCCGTAGCTCAAGGACAAGTATATATAAATATATATATATATATATATATATATATATATATATATATATATATATATATATATATATATATATATATATATATATATATATATATATATATATATATATATAAATATATATATAAACATATATATATATATATATATATATATATATATATATATATATATATATATAAATATATATATAAACATATATATATATATATATATATATATATATATATATATATATATATATATATATATATATATATATATATATATATATATATAATATATATATATATATAATATATATATAATATATATATATATATAAATATATATTATATATATATATATATATATATATATATAATATATATATATATATATATGTGTGTGTGTGTGTGTGTGTGTGTGTGTGTGTGTTGTGTGTGTGTGTGTGTGTGTGTGTGTGTGTGTGTGTTGTGCGCGCGTGTGTGTGTGTGTAGGAATGGTGCCAAATTTACCCACTGCGAAAGTGGCCCTCTCACACTAACATTCACCACGACTGGCATTATAACACAGCAATCTCCCACGTTAATACTCACCGCAGTGCCGCCACTGAACAATGGCACTCTCCACTAACGACTTTCCAACACTGGAAAACTTTCAGAAGCTGCAACACTTCGGCACTGGCACTCACCAACAAGTGGCCCTCCAAAAGTTGTATTCTCAATGTTCTTCAACAACAGTACCTCTCTCTCGAACACTGGGTCTCTTCAGACAGCCCTCCAACAATAGCTCTCTCCAGAAATGAATCTCTTCAACAACAGCTGTGTTCAGAAATGAATCTCGTCTGGTCTCAGACCGGGCCACGGGGGCGTTGACCCCCGAAACTCTCTCCAGGTATCTCCGGGTAACAATATCTGTCTTCAGAAATCAATCCCTTCAACAATAGCTCTCCCAGAAATGAATATCTTCAACAATAGCTCTCTCAAGAAATTAAGCTCTCCAACAACAGCTCTGCAAAAATTACTCTCTCCAACAATAGCTCTCTCCGAAAACGACTCTCTCTCTCTCTAATAACAGCTCTTCAAAAATGACTCTTTACAACAAGAATAACAGCCTGGTTGATGAGACCCTGATCCACCACGAAGCCTGGTCTCAGACCGGCCCGCGGGGGCGGTGACCCCCGAAGCTCTCTCCAGGTATACTCCAGGTATAATACTGGTCTTTAACAACCAGAGGAAAGGAGAAGAGGTGAGGAGAAGAGGAGATCGGAAAGGAGAGGGGAAAGAAGAGGAGAGGGAAAGAAGGTGAGTAGGGGGAGGCAATGATCCTTTTCATGGCTGAG